CCGCGCCTGGCCCCGCCCGGCCCCGCCGCGGACTGCAGTGCCCCGCAGACCTGAGCAGTCGCTCGTGCTGAGCGCCGGGAGGGCGCCAGGTGAGCCGCCTTGGGGGAACTGGGGGGCGCGGGGTTGCCGCGCGACCCCCACCGCCGGGACCCCCCGCCGCTCCGGCCCACTTCCGCCTAGTCCCCGAAGGCTGGAAAGCGGGCGTGGGGCGACAGATGGCAGGGGGAAGGGACGAGGGAGAGACGGGCCGGGAGGACGGTCCCTTTGGGGGAGGGGCCCTGCGCCGCGAGTCTGCGTGTGCGCGCGCGCGTGTCGGGCCCCGGGCGGGATGCGCGGTTGCGCGCGGTCTCTGCGCCAGCGGGCCGGCGCCTGTTTGTCCCCGGGAGGCGGCGCCCGGTTCTGCGGCCGCACGCTGGGCGGCTGTGTGCTGGGTGGGCTCGGGCCTTCGCGCTGGGCGTCCTTGCCTTCGCCACTGCGGGTCCGTCTCCATTTGTGTGTCGGTGCACGGTTTAGTGTTGTTTCTGGAGACTAAGTTCCTGGAGGAATTACTGAGCCTGCCTGCGGTCACCTGGCTAACGTCCCTTCTCTCGGCAGCCTGGGGCCTAGGCCTGAGCCGCCATGGCGCTGCCCCCAGGCCCAGCCGCCCTCCCGCACACACTGCTGCTCCTGCCAGCCCTTCTGAGCTCAGGTACACCCCCGTTCACCCCTTGGCCAAGCACTTCTGGCCAAGCCCCCGTCTCTCCCCTCACCTTGGGTTTGGGTACCCGCTTCAGGCCCCAGAGCACCAGAGCTGGCTTCCCCTCACCCACCTACCCACGGTCCAGCGAACCTGGGTGCTCCGGCTCTTGGTCTGCTGCCCTGCTGTGACTGGATCTCGTGCTGGTCACAGACCAGTTCCACCCCTCCCCCAGCTCTCCGCAGAACCCCCTGCTGTGTTCCAGGTTGGGGGGAATTGGCACCAGAAATTGATGGTCAGACCTGGGCCGAGCTGGCACTTCGGGAGAACGAGCGGCACGCCTTCACCTGCCGGGTGGCAGGGGGGCCTGGAACCCCCCGATTGGCCTGGTACCTGGATGGACAGCTGCAGGAGGCCAGCACCTCGAGGCTGCTGAGTGTGGGCGGGGAGGCCTTCTCTGGAGGCACCAGCACCTTCACTGTTACTGCCCAGAGGGCCCAGCATGAGCTTAACTGCTCCTTGCAGGACCCCGGCAGTGGCCGGTCAGCTAATGCCTCCGTCATCCTCAATGTGCAATGTGAGTGCCCCTGAGGTGGGCAGGGACAGAGGTTCTCTGCTGAGGGAGGCCCAGCAGCCGCCAGGCAGGTGGTCTGATAGACTCCTTAACACTTAAGCACTTTGCAAATATTAACTCACATTATCCTCAGGATAATCCTATGAGGTAATTATTATTGTTAGCCCCATTTCACAAATGACAAAACGGAGCCACAGATTGGTTAAGTCTGCAGTCCTACAGCTGGTAGGCACAGCCAGGATTCAAATCGAGACATTTTGGTTCTAGTGTTTCTACTGTTTTTGTTTTTTGCTTTTTTTTTTTAAAGATTTTATTTATTTATATTTTGACCGAGAGAGAGTGAGAAAGGAAACACAAGTAGGGGGAGAGGGAGAAGCAGGCTTCCTGCCAAGCAGGGAGCCCGATGCAGGGCTCGATCCCAGGACCCTGGGATCATGACCTGAGCCCAAGGCAGACGCTCAACCAGTGAGCCACCCAGGCGCCCCAAGTGTTTCTACTGTTAATCACTATGAAATGCTGCTTCTCAGGGAGACCCAGCCATCCTGTTTCCCAGTGCCCCCTTGAGGAGAGGTCCAAGCTCCTGGCTCCCTTCTGGGTTTGGGAAGAAAGGGCAAGGAGTCTGAGGGGTGTGGTGAGAGTATATTGGCTTCTGCTTTGCACCAGTTAAACCAGAGATTGCCCAGGTCGGGGCCAAGTACCGGGAAGCTCAGGGGCCAGGCCTCCTGGTTGTCCTTTTTGCCCTGGTGCGTGCCAACCCACCTGCCAATGTGACCTGGATCGACCAGGATGGGCCGGTGACTGTCAACGCCTCTGACTTCCTGGTGCTGGATGCCCAGAACTACCCTTGGCTCAGCAACCACACCGTGCAGCTGCAGCTCAGCAGCCTGGCACACAACCTCTCCGTGGTGGCCACCAACGACGTGGGTGTCACCAGCGCCTCGCTTCCGGCCCCGGGTGAGCACTGCCAGCGACTGGCCCAGCACGGCCTCAGGTGGGTGCAGGATCACAGTGCAGAAATGAGAAGACTGGGGGCCCTCTGGGTGAGTCTTCTGAATGAGCTGTGCCGACCACCTTGAGCAAGGAAGACAGAGTAGTACCTGTCTCTGGCATCTCAGAGTTGGGGGGCCCTGCCCACTTCGAACCTAACCAGAGGACACCTTGCAGGGCTTCTGGCCACCCGAGTGGAAGTGCCGCTGCTGGGCATCGTTGTGGCTGGAGGGCTTGCCCTGGGCACCCTGGTGGGGTTCAGCACCTTGGTGGCCTGCCTGGTCTGCAGGAAAGAGAAGAAGACCAAAGGTAGGGCCAAAGCAGTAGGGCGGGGCTGGGGGGGCTGGTGAGGGTGGCTGAGGAGCAGGGAGAAGGAGAGGGAGGAGCAGCAAGGGCAGCACGTGGGGCTTGGCAGGACAGGTCATCGCTGATCTTCCTGGGCATGTCCACGGGTAAAACCCAATGCAACTCAGGTAGCAGGGCTGGGCACTGGGAACCCAGTCTGTCCCAGAGCCAAAGCTGGGCATTGGCGAGATCCCTTGCCTGAGGGTCCTGGGTCTGAAAGGGCATAGGGAGAGACCCAAAGTGGGTGGGCTCCCTGAGAAAGTGTGTGGTTTCTTTCTCCCTAGGCCCCTCCCGGCGCCCATCCCTGATCTCTAGGTAACTTCCTGGGGCGGGCTGGATGGGCCGACCTGAGATGCAGCATGGGGACAGCTGGAAACCGGGGGTCTCCCTAGTTCTGGAATGGGCCCCAAAGCAGGAATCTGGGCCTGCTGGAGACGGGGCATATCCCAGGCTCTGTCCGCCCTGTAGTGACTCCAACAACCTGAAACTCAACAACGTGCGCCTGCCACGGGAGAACATGTCCCTCCCGTCCAACCTGCAGCTCAACGACCTCACTCCAGATTCCAGAGGTACACCTCTGCCCCCACTTTATCTTCAGAGGTGCTTCTGAGGAAAAGAGAGACCCTGGTACTTAGGAGGGGCTAGGCCCCATCAGGCACACACCTCATCCTGGGCATACCCGTTTGTCACCCAGCAGGGAAGCCAGCAGACCGGCAGATGGCTCCGAATAACAGCCGGCCAGAGCTGCTGGACCCAGAGCCCGGTGGCCTCCTCACCAGCCGAGGTACTGGGACATGGGCCTGTGGCCCCCCTCCTCCGCTCCCCAGCCCTTGTGCTTCTGCCAGAGGCCTCAGAGTCTCCACGGGCAGAGAGGGCTCTCCCAACTTCCAGGCGGTGAGGCTCACTGCGTCTCACGGGCGTCTTTGCCCCTGCAGGTTTCATCCAGCTCCCCATGCTGGGCTATATCTATCGAGTGTCCAGTGTGAGCAGTGATGAGATCTGGCTCTGAGCAGGGCAAGATTGGGGGTGCCCTCTTGGCTCCTGGGCCCCCTCCTCCTCCTCCAAGGCCACCGCTGCCTGGCCCCGTTGCCACTGGGAAGAGGTCATGCCCCTGCTACTTCTGCTTGCCCTCCTGGCTGGGGTGCCCTCTGTGTCATCCTCATGATCTGACCCTCAGGGGCACGGGTATCTTGGCAGAGCCACCGGCTGCACCTCAGCCCCTTGTTCTAACTCAGGTAGGGGGGCCCTTCAGTGACACCCGTGCCCCGGCGGATGGAGCTCTTTGTGCAGGTGTGTTTGCAGGTTATCTGGCATCTAAGTGTGGCATGGCTCGGCCGGTCTGGGCCTGCCCTGTGCCACACACCAGTACTCTTAGCACTTTGTGCAGAGGCACGGGGGTGTGCCCAGTGCGGGGGGCACAGGGAGGGCCCTGCATGTCTTCAGTTTCCTCCCCATGCTGTGCAGCTTTGTTCCCTCAGGGAAAATTTAGGACCCCGATAGCCATATCGAACCAAACTGCCCTTTACACGGGAACCAACCTCTGGCCCAGGGGCAGTGGCCAAGCACAAGCTAATCCCTTTTGCTGCATACCTCTCTGCCCTTCTCTGTCTCCGCCTCCTCTTGGGCATCATATGTTATACATTGGACCTTCTCCATTTCCCCACTGGGCACTATACTTCCCCATTGACCTCACCCTGGCAGTGCCAGGGCCTGGTGTTAGCACAAGTCAGGAGGAAAAGAGGGAGGCGGGAAGTCCAGTGGTACCCTGGGCAGCATGTAGTAGCTGTGCATCATTTTCTTACAGTGTTGGCACTTTAAGCACATCCCCTGGGGAGGAGGGGGTGAGTGAGGGCCCCAGGGCCCTGTCTGTGGCTTCCCCAAGTCTGGCCTTCCTCTGATTCACTGTGAGTGCCCTGAGCCCTCGGGGTTGATGGTTCCCCTCTCAACATGTCTCCCCCGCCATGGGACCCCCTGAGCAGCCCCTGACTGCCTCATCAGCAGGAAGCCGCTCTTCCTGTCCACCCTCGGTTCTTCAGGGGATGGTCGTAGTGGCACATTATTGGACAGAGCTAGAAGCTTTTAGGGGAACATGGAAAAAGGGGGGACCACATACTCCAAAACAACCTAAGAACTCTTTGGAAAGCAACATGGAAATGATAGCAAATTATTATAGTGCAGAGTCTATTTTTCCCTTGTTGATATCTTCTTTTATAATTTTTCTCCTGTTACTGCCTAGGACAGTGCTGAGCACACAGTAGATTTAATAAACTTGACTAAGTGAATGTTACATGTCTGTTTCGTTTCTTCATTTATGGTTTTAAAATGAAATCTTTAAATCACACAGTGAGTAGAGGAAACACCTGTGTATCCACCACTCGACTCGGTTGAATCTTCTCACTTTAACCTGTTTGCTTCATATCTTTTATTTTTAAAAATAAATGTTATTTCTTTAATTACACTGTTCTCAGTGCAGGGCTGGCGTGCTCCTTTTTGGGAGTGCCAGATCGGGGATCCCAGCTCTCCACTTGGCAGACTCCCCATCTCTCAGGAGTGTGGCTAAGCCAGGCTGAGCTCTTTTGTCCTGGTTAGAGGTACAGAAGGCTCAGACTAGGCTGTGATTTAAAAAAAAAAAAAAATTTTTTTTTCTGGAGAATCAGGGAAAAAGACTAGAAATGAGAGTTGTTGTTGTTTTTTTTTTAAGATTTTATTTATTTATTCGTAAGACACAGAGAGGAAGAGAGAGAGAGGCAGAGGGAGAAGCAGGCTCCCCGCTGAGCAGGGGGCCCGATGCGGGACTCGATCCCAGGACCCTGAGATCACGACCCGAGCCAAAGGCAGACGCTTAACCATCCGAGCCACCCAGGCGCCCTAGAAATGAGAGTTTCCTGAGGGCAAATTTATATCCTTTTCTGAGCAACAGATGGGCTTGGCTTGCATAGTTCTGGGTTCTCTGCCCACCTCCTGGCTTCTCAATTGTTCATTAGGGTTGGCCTCCATGGGAGTGGCTGAGGCTGCCCCAGCCTCTACTGGTTTTGCACGTAAGCTGCTTTGTGGCCCCAGAACGTTTAGAAGCCAGGGTGCCTCTCTCTGGTGACGGTCGTCCACTGTTTCCTTTGGGAGGTCCTGGAGCCCCTTCCTTGATGGTTCTTTGGCAAGGCTACAAGCCTTGTGCTCCTCTCAGCTGCCCTCAAGGTCTTACTTCTGCAGAAAGGTGGGTTCTTCCAGGCAAATCCGTCCACGCAAGTGTTTGCAAAGGGGTGGACTTTGAAACCAGTGTTCCAGTTTTCCCTTAGAGATTCCCTGTTCCTTTGTTGAGTCCCAGACCCCTTGGAGAATTTGATGAAAGGTAAAGACTCCTTTCTGAGAAATGCTGATGAAGAAGCCCCTGCTCATTATGCAGGTCAAAGCCCATCAAATTACAACTTGGGTAAACCTTGAAAACATGCTGAGTGAAAGAAGCCAAATCCAAAAGGCCATCTGTGACTCCATTTATATGAAATGCCCAGAATGGGCAATTCTGCGGAGACAGAATAGGTTACTGGTTGCCAGGGACTGGAGGGAGGGAAGAATGGAGAACGGCTGCTAATGAAAATGGGGTTTCTTTTGGGGGTGATAAAAATGT